TTTCGTTAGGTTCAGAATGATTTTTGCGAAATTATTGCATACACAAATTTTCGATTGCATTATTCGGCAAGAAGAGCATTGCTGTTTAAGCCAAAATCTCAAGTTTTACCTATTCGGCACGACATTATATATATATATATATATATATATATATATATATATATATATATATATATATATATATATATATATATATGCAAGGAATTCGCAAGAGCAGGCGAAATATACACAAACTAATCTCTGGCCGAAGGAGACTCGAACCTACGAACCTTGGAACAAGGTAAGCAGTACTTTACCGTCCTCACCACAATGGACCAATACCTTGGCGCCCAGCCCAGCTGTAAGCCTCCTCACTGAAAGCTGGCTGCCTTGGATCAAAAACGTCTAGCATGAGCTGGGCGCCAAGGTATTGTTCCAGTGTGGTGAGGATGGTAAAGCACTGCGTACCTTGTTCCAAGGTTCGTAGGTTCGAGTCTCCTTCGGCCAGAGATCAGTGTTTTATATATATATATTATATATATATATTATATATATATATATATATATATATATATATATATATATATATATATATACACACACACATGTATATGTAACCACGAACGAGTGGTATTAATCACTAACAACACTGCGACTAGCCGAGGATTCGAAACCATGTCGTTTTGCCCCATCTCACCATGAGGTGGGTGAAAACGACATGGGTTCAAATCCTCGGCTAGTCGCAATGTTGTTATTGATGCACACGCGCGCGCACACACACACACACACACACACACACAACACACACACACACACACACAACACACACACACACACACACACAATATATATATATATATAATATATATATATATATATATATATATATATATATATATATATATATAATATATATATTATAAAATGCATGCAAGACAAGCCATTTCTTCAGTTGCTGCCCTTGCAACATTGCATAGCTCCTGATACAATGAGAAGTGTGAAAGTACTTGAGCTAAAGATTTCCACCCCCGTGGATGACTCTTGCCTAATTTCATTCTCCTCCCTGTTCGCCACTTGTTCGTGGGTACAATAATATAAAATACTGCTTGTTGTACTAGTATACCAAACAGGGAGGAGAATGAAATTAGCCTAGAGTCATCCACACCAACGTATGTCCTTGGGTAACGAGTACAACATCCAGTTCCGCTGGATGCGCTGTCCTCCAGTGTCGTCAGGTCGATTTCCTTTAACCTCTCCTCGTAGGACATACCCCTGAGCTCCGGGACTGGTCTTGGTGCAAACTAGTGCTGCGTACTCCAATATGGGTCTGTCGTACACAGTGTACAGGGTCCTGAACGATTCCTTATTAAGATGTGGGAATGCTGTTCTTAGATTTGCTAGGCACCCGTATGCTGCAGCAGTTATTTAGTTGATGTACACCTCAGGAGATGTGCCCGGTGTTATACTCACCCCAAGACCTTTTTCCTTGAATGTATGTGTGTTAGTTACGATTGTGTCCTAGGCGCATGTTGATTAGACACTAGGCCTGTGTGTGTACTCACCTATTTGTGGTTGCAGGGGTCGATTCTTAGCTCCTGGCCCCGCCTCTTCACCGGTTGCTACTGGGCCCTCTCTCTCCCCGCTCCATGAGCTTTATCAAACCTCGTCTTAAAACTGTGTATGGTTCCTGCCTCCACTACGTCATTTTCTAGGCTATTCCACTGCCTTACAACTCTATGACTGAAGAAATACTTCCTAATATCTCTCTGACTCATTTGTGTGTTCAACTTCCAATTGTGGCCTCTTGTTTCTGTGTCCCCTCCCTGGAACATCCTGTCTTTGTCCACCTTGTCTATTCCACGCAGTATTTTATATGTCGTTATCATGTCTTCCCTGACCCTCTTGTCCTCCAGTGTCGTCAGGCCGATTTCCCTTAATCTTTTTTCATAGGACATTCCCCTTAGCTCTGGAACTAACCTTGTGGCAAACCTTTGTACTTTCTCTAGTTTCTTGACGTGCTTTATCAAGTGCGGGTTCCAAACAGGTGCTGCATACTCCAGTATGGGCCTGACATACACGGTGAACAGTGTCTTGAACGATTCCTTACTAAGGTATCGGAATGCTGTTCTCAGGTTTGCCAGGCGCCCATATGCGGCAGCAGTTATCTGATTGATGTGTGCTTCCGGAGACATGCTCGGTGTTATACTCACCCCAAGATCTTTCTCCTTGAGTGAGGTTTGCAGTCTTTGGCCACCTAGCCTATACTCTGTCTGTGGTCTTCTGTGCCCTTCCCCTATCTTCATGACTTTGCATTTGGCAGGATTAAATTCGAGAAGCCATTTGCTGGACCAGGTGTCCAGTCTGTCCAGGTCTCTTTGAAGTCCTGCCTGATCCTCATCAGATTTAATTCTCCTCATTAACTTCACATCATCTGCAAACAGGGACACTTCTGAGTCTAACCCTTCCATCATGTCGTTCACATATACCAAAAATAGCACTGGTCCTAGGACCGACCCCTGTGGGACCCGCTCGTCACAGGTGCCCACTGTGATACATCATTACGTACCATGATTCGTTGTTGCCTCCCTGTCAGGTATTCTCTGATCCATTGCAGTGCCCTTCCTGTTATATGCGCCTGATGCTCTAGCTTCTGCACTAATCTCTTGTGAGGAACTGTGTCAAAGGCCTTCTTGCAGTCCAAGAAGATGCAATCAACCCACCCCTCTCTCTCGTGTCTTACTTCTGTTATTTTATCATAAAACTCCAGAAGGTTTGTGACACAGGATTTGCCTTCCATGAATCCGTGCTGGTTGGCATTTATACTCTTGTTCCGTTCCAGGTGCTCCACCACTCTCCTCCTGATAATCTTCTCCATAACTTTGCATACTATACACGTCAATGACACAGGTCTATAGTTTAGTTCCTCTTTTCTGTCTCCTTTTTTAAAAATGGGAACTACATTTGCCGTCTTCCATAACTCAGGTAGTTGCCCAGTTTCCAGGGACGTGTTGAAGATTGTGGTAAGTGGCACGCACAACATATCTGCTCCCTCTCTAAGGACCCACGGGGAGATGTCCAGTCCCATTGCCTTTGAGGTATCGATGTCCCTTAGCAGTTTCTTCACCTCCTCCTCATCTGTATGTATGTCGTCCAACACTTGTTGGTGTATTCCTTGCTGGTGTCCCCATCTGATCTGTCCCTCCAGAGTCCTTCCTGTCTCTACTGTAAATACTTCCTTAAATCTCGTGTTGAGCTCCTCACATACCTCTTGATCGTTTCTTGTGAGTTCTCCACCTTCTTTCCTCAGCCTTATCACCTGGTCCTTGACTGTTGTCTTCCTCCTAATGTGGCTATACAGCAGTTTCGGGTCAGATTTGACTTTCGATGCTATGTCGTTTTCATACTGTCGCTGGGCCTCCCTCCTTATCTGTGCATACTCGTTTCTGGCTCTTCTACTAATCTCCTTGTTTTCCTGGGTCCTATGCTTCCTGTACATTTTCCATTCTCTGTTGCACTTAGTTTTTGCCTCCCTACACCTTCGGGTAAACCAAGGACTCGTTTTGGTCTTCCTATTATTTCTGTTTCCCTTGGGAACAAACCTTTCCTCTGCCTCCTTGCACTTTGTTGCCACATATTCCATCATCTCCTTTACTGATTTTCCTACCATTTCTCTGTCCCACTGAACCTCCTGCAGGAAGTTTCTCATACCTGGGTAGTCCCCCCTTTTATAGTTTGGCGTGTGTGTGTGTGTATGTGTGTGTGTGTGTGTGTGTGTGTGTGTGTGTGTGTGTGTGTGTGTGTGTGTGTGCGTGCGTGTGTGCGTGTGTGTGTCGTGCCGAATAGGTAAAACTTGTGATTTTGGCTTAAATAGTAACTGTTGTTGCCGAATAAGGCAAGCTAAAATTTGTGTATGCAATAATTTCGCAGAAATCATTCTGAACACAACGAAGAAAACATATTTCATTGTGTTTATTAAATTGTAAAGTTATCTAGAATATATTTTGTTGGATTAGGCTAAATTAAATTGCACTTGTTATAATAAGGTTAGGTAAGTTTTCTAAGGTTCTTTTAGTACAAAGTTATTAACTTTTGCATTAACATAAATAAATATATATATCTTTATACGTATAAGGGAAAAATTTTTAAAGGACTTAATTTTAAGTGAGTTCTTGCTAATTGACCAATTTTACCTATTTGGCACCTTATATATATATATAATATATATATTATATATATATATATATATATATATTATATATATATATATATATATATATATATATATATATATATAAGGGAGGAAAAGAGAGAGAGAGAGAGAGCCATACACTGACCTTATGGATAATACATATGAGTAACCCACTTTCAGCAGTTCACAGATAACATGATCTGCAATTGTAGAGATGTCTGAGGAGAGTCTCAAGTAGACGAAAGATGTGTTATTTCTGTACTGTTGAACATAAGTTGTATTATTTTCTGTATCTATGTCTGAATTATAATTGCATCCTTTGAAATTTCTCATTTAATACCAGTAGTGTTTACTCAGGTTTTGTTATATATTAAACCTTCCTCAACGCTTTCTCAAGGTGATCTGTTCTTGTAAAGATTTGTAAATGCATAATTTGATCTCACTTTTACGTAAGATTCTACAACTCAATGTATTTCCCCTTTTATCTTTTTCTCTGTACCTTTGTACTAGCTATTCACAACTAATCCCCAAAAATTCCGTTTCTAGATATGGGTCTAGGACAGTTTAAACATCGTCCAGCTTTCATGTTCGGTTGTGGGTTATATAGTAGATTAGCAAATGCTGGTAAATTTGGTTTAAAGCCTATCGAGTACACAATGGTCATTAAAGCTGCATGTAACTTCACCACCAGTCATGTACTATGCTGTCATTTTTTTTTTAATTTTGTGTGTAAAGCGGTGTAGCACTGTGGGTCATTCAGCACGAGAAGTGGTTGATCCTTGGTGGGCTGGCAGCATGATAATGTGTCTCCTCCTCCTCCTCCTCCCCGCAGGCCGTGAGCATGGGCAGGTAGCAGTATGATCTCTGGGAGTGTGGTGGGCGGCGGTACGGTCTCTCCTCACCACAAGTGTGTAGCAGTCACTCTCTTGACCGACGAGACGCTCACTTTCGCTGCTGAGGTAAGTTGCAACTGCAGGGATGGGGGATTAGGGGGACGGGAACCACCACTCCTCCTCCTTGTCTGTTGCTTATGCATCTTCCACCTCCGCTTCCGCTTTCTACATCTATGCATTTTTGTACTCCACCTCTAATCATGGGTAATATTTATAGTGAGGGATTAATTATCGTAAATGAGGGGGGTTAATTATCATAAGTGATGGATTAATTATCGTAGGTTATTGTTCATGAGGGGTTAAAATATTGTTATTGAGAAGTTAAATTATCGTAGGAATGTGGCTAAATTATTGTAAGCAATTCAATACCTAATCGCATGTCAAGGGATGAATTATTATACGCCAGAGATATTATTAAGAAATAGGAAAAACTAAATATTTCTATACATACGCAAAATCCCATTTCTAGAATTGTCCCGTTTCTAACAGGAGGTTTATACACCGGCGACGAGAAAAAAGTGAGCGAAACTTAGCAAGATCGGTAAGAATCGAAGCGATCTACTCAACAACAGGAGAGTGTTGAAAATGGTATAAAGCACCGACAAGTTGATGAGTAAGACATGTGCAACAGTTGGCTATCTTTAATGTTGACACCATTCGCCTACACAGTAGACGAAACATTTTAGCATTAAAGATACCCCACTGTTGCACATGAGTCTTACTCATCTACAGGAGAGTGGAGGATACAGAAAAGTGTTTTCGTTATCTCTGGTCATCTGACAAACCATACATCTCATATAAGCACAACTTCTTTATAGTACGAGAGGGGGAATAAAAAACATGCAGCACCGGGACCAGAGTCACGAAACTCTGTTTATAAAGAAATATAGACATCCAATATCACGAGCACTCAACATAGCTTAGATCTAGGTGAAATCACGGAAGTCTTAAAAAGATATATAGCTCCTCTGCACAAAGGAAGTAGTAGAACCCTGCCGGCCAGTAGCTCTAGCATCACACAAAAAATCTTGAGAGGGTGTTGAAACGACAGATTACAAATTTTATGGAAGCGCATGATCTGCACAACCCATGTCACTATGAATTTGGAACAGGAACATTATGTTTATCACAACCGGTGGATCATTATAACAAAATTGCGAATTCTTTGGAAGAATTCCAAAATGCATATCATCGAGTGATAACATATAAAATAAGGCCAACATAACAGCAGTAAATAAGGTATATTTAGCCAGAGCAAAGTTACAAATTCAGTATGCCAATGCACAGTCCAAGCACCTTTACTCTTTCTCACCCTCATAGCAAACCGATAAGAATGCGGATCTACTCAGGCCTTGTGTCATCCTCTGTGTACGATATATAAATTAGCGTGACAGTTACCCTAGTAGAGGACACTGAAGAAAAGTTCAAGACAATGTAAACAGAGTCTTCCAGTGGGCGGTAGAAAAATAACATGATAATCAATAGAGGCAAATTCTTATTGCTCAAAAATGAAAAGGATGAACAATTAAAAGGGAAAACTACGAAGCACAAGGTTACCCCCATAAAACGAAAAGAATATGTAATAGATCTGGGTATAATAATGTCAGCTGATCTATACTTTATGAAAGACAATAAAACAAACGCTGAGGAAAGCCAGGAAAATGACAGGGTGGATAATAAGTACCTTCAAAACAAGATAAATAATGTGTTCTCTCGTTTAGAACTGCTCAATGTGGATAGCTCCGTTCAAGGTAACAGAGATAGAGCTGGAAAAAAATACAGTGTTTACTTCTATTGAAATATTTAAACTAATGAGGACGACTCTTAATAATGGAAAATTCTCTCTAGAGAGAAGGCGAGAGAGATACGTGATAATGAGAGAAATACATGATAATATACACAAGGAGAATGCTGGAGGGCCTGGTCCCAAATTTGCATACTACCCTAGAGATATAGGAGGCAGTATAAGACAGACCCAATGAAAAACAGTGGAGGCATGGGAACAAGAGTACGCCCTGTCAGATTCTGAAAGCCTCGGCTATTCACCTGCTACCAGGAGATATCATTAAGATTACCGGGTCAAGTATGAAAATATTCAAGAAGAAACCGGAACACTACCTACGTGGTGTGGTAGATCAGTCAAGCAATAGCACCAGCCTAGTTGACAAGACTGTAGGCAGGCAGGCCTGGTCCGAGGCTGGATCGCCAGAGTAGGAAGTCTCGAAACTGTATTATATAAAAATTCGCTAAACCTGTGTGTATCGTATATTGCTATCATATGTTAAAAACCAAATCATTGTGTATATTTTTTTTAATTTGAAATCTCAAGTGTTAAAATATATGTTTAAGATATTTTTTTTTATATTTTTAAATGAAAAGTGTTACGTTCTTTGAAAGTGTGAGCCAGTGTTAAGTGTTGGTTTCCAAAGGTCGTGCATAAAGTTTGTATTACTCCAGGTCAGACACCGTAAAGTTCGTGTTACGAACACAGGAAAGAATGGCCTGTGAGATCTGGTTGTAATGGGAAACGGCGCAAACAAAACTAAGCATTAGACTATAATACTTGCATATATCACCAGATGATATATGCAAGTATGTTCAATATGTACATATAAAATAGCAAGTGTACACCACGGTGACAGATGGCACAGCAGAAGCCAGTGAGAGTGCACCGTGCTCAACCATCAGCTAGGCAAGTCTGCCAATGCTTATCGCTAGTGAACCACGTTACTTCAGCTTTGGCGGGCTTGCCTGTGATTAGCCAATGAACCAAGGTACTGATTTAACGACGAGTACCCTGTCGATCGTTAAACCCTTAGCACGCAGTTTGCTGGTTGGGAGGCAGCCTATATGGGAGTGTGACATACACCGAAGAAATTGTAACATACTCTTTGCATGCCACAGTTTGTGTTACTCCAGGTCAAACAACGTAAAGTTTGTGTTACTCCAGGTCAGACAACGTAAAGTTTGTGTTACTCCAGGCCAAACAACGTAAAGTTTGTGTTACTCCAGGTCAGACAACGTAAAGAGTGTTACTCCAGGTCAGACAACGTAAAGTTTGTTTTACTTCAGGTCAGACACCGTAAAGTTTGTGTTGCTTCAGGTCAGACAACGTAAAGGTTGTGTTACTCTAGGTCAGACAACGTAAAGTTTGGGTCACTCCAGGTCAGACAACGTAAAGGTTGTGTTACTTCAGGTCAGACAACGTAAAGTTTGTGTTACTTCAGGTCAGACAACTAGCTTCCTCTTCCCTCCATCTCACACATCTCCCACTTCATCCTCCTATGGCCCGTGTACATGTATATTCTTTTCCTCCACCTTAAAACCTGACCTCCCTTGCCTCCACTCATTTCCTTCCCTCCCTTCCTTAGTCTCACACCCTCCACATCCATCCCTACACTCCTCACTACCACCTCCCCCCTCCCGTCATTTTCCCCCCTCCTCCCCTTCCCCTCCCCTCCCCAGACAATGATGTCACTCCCACCAGAGGATCACTCTGCACGTCAGCGTTGAAATCTCTACCTCGTAATCAATTCATTTCCACGAATTTTGTCTATCTGTTGTCTCCTCGCCACGCAGTCTACCCATTCTCGAATTCCAGCGTTCGTTATCTTACGTATTTATATGCGTCACTTTCTGAACATTTTAAACCTGCTAAAAAATAAACATTATTTGTATTTATTTTACGTTAATCGCCAATAAGCTAATATGTGTGTATATATATATATATATATATATATATTATATATATATATATATATATATATATATATATATATATATATATATATATATATATATATATATTCTTTCAATGTACCGGCCGTATCCCACCGAGGCGGGGTGGCCCAAAAGGAAAAACGAAAGTTCCTCCTTTTAAATTTAGTAATATATACAGGAGAAGGGGTTACTAGCCCCTTACTCCCGGCATTTTAGTTGCCCCTTATGACACGCATGGCTTACGGAGGAAGAATTTTGTTCCACTTCCCCATGTATATATATATATATATATATATATATATATATATATATATATATATATATATATATATATATATAAATATATAATATATATATATATATATATATACACACGCTAAATTTGTTGTGAGCAATAAGTTGGTTGGGTACAGGTGACATACAGTTGCAAAACAACGTATTATTATAATCATAATTTAGCACTAAACCCACAGGGGTCATACAACGCTGCACAACACAGTGTAAGTCAAAAACACAAGTTATGTATTGAGTTTGCCTCCACCACTACCTTATCCAGGTCATTTTTTTCAATCGCCTTAAGACTAAAGAAATTCTTACTTATATCACTATGCTTCGCATGTCGTCGGTTTCCACTTGTGTCCTCTTGACATATCTGTTTCTCTTAAGATTTTGTTTGTCGTAATCATGTATTCCCTTGTCTTTCTCTCCGTCAAAGTCGTCAGGTTCAGCTCCTCCAAGTTCTCCTCATATTTCAGTCTTCTCAGTTTTGGTACTAGTCTGGCTGCAAACCTTTGCAATCTTTCGAGATTTTACGGATGTTTGACCTGGTGTTGGACTGTGTCGTCCATAACGTTCTGAAGGTTCTTTGTTGAATTCCTGAAAGCTGTTTTGAAGTTTGCTAATCTTGTGATTGTCACTGATGCTATGCTGTTTATGTGTAAGTCTGACGATATGCTTCGTGTTATATTTACCCCCAGGCACTTTGCGCTCTCTGATATTTACAGCTTCTCTCTTCCCATTCTTCACATTCTACACTCGGTGTCCGGTCTTCTCTTACGTCCCAATCGCATGATCTTGCATTTATTTGGGATGAACTCGAGAAGCCGTTTGTTTGAGCACATTTGCAGTCTGTTGACGTCTCCGTGCAGTTTATCATTGTCCTCTCCTGTTCTTATTCTTCTCACTAGTTTTACGTCATAAGTAAACAGTGACGCACAAGACTCTTTTGTAGGTCGTTTTCGTATACTGGAAACAGTAGTGATCCTAATACTGATCCTTGCGGAACCCCGCTCATTACTCTTTCTCCCATTATGATGTCTCATTCCTTACTGTTACTGTCTTCCTTT